CTCGCATGGCTTGCGGTTTAGGGCCCTAAACCCTAAACCCTAAACCCTAAAGCCTAAGCCCTAAGCCCTAAGCCCCAAGCCCTAAGCCCTAAACCCTAAACCCTAAAGCCTAAGCCCTAAACCCTAAACTGCTGTAGGGCGACAGGCTCAAAAACTTGCAGAGCTCAGGTACGAAAACTTTGCGAACAAGAGGACCGAGGCGGTGGTCCCGGACGACATCGTCCAGCTCGATGATGCCTAGGGCCGGTTTAGGGTTTAGGGTTTGGGGTTTAGGGTTTAGGCTTTAGGGTTTAGGGTTTAGGGTTTAGGGTTTGGGGTTTAGGGATGCTTCGACCCAGACGACCCCTAAAGCCTACAACCCTGGCCCTAACCGTAGACTCCCAGCAACTAGAAGGTATTGGCTTAGAGACGCACTCCAGAGGGCTCTTCTTCTCTGTGTTTTGCAAGCGAAGCTTGTTTCTTGTTTATGTTTCGTTGCTTTTTTTTGGGTTATGAATCTGTGATTTGTTTCTTATTTATGTTTTATTTTATTTTTTTTTTTTGGGGGGGGGGGGGGGGGGGGAGGTGGGTTAGTCTAGGGCTCGGATGCAGCCGCTCTGAAGGCGTAAGGTTTCGGTCTTTACAGGGTTCAAGGTTTAGGGTTTAGGGCTTAGTGAGGGAGCTTGGGGCTTGTGCAGGGGACGATGTATCGGGGTTGGGGGTTTAGGGTTTAGGGTTGAGGGTTGAGGGTTTAGGGTTTAGGGTCGACTCCTGGCTTGGGGGAAGAGCCATTCGGTGTGCGCCGTAGGGCTTCCGAGGTGTACAGGGTGGGGCCCCCTAGTTATAAGTAGAGTTATAAGGGCCCTAAATTGGGTTATAAGGACCCTAAGTTAGGTTGTAAGTCCCTTAACTACAGTTAGTATAGTAAGGGGGCCCCACCCTGTAGGGTTTAGGATTTGGGCTTTTAGGAGGCTTAAGGGCTACAAGGAGGGGCCCCTAGAAGGGACCCCTAGAAGCTTATTCCCCTATTTAAGCCCTTTATATACCTTACATAGTCCCCATGTACTTATAAGTCCCTACCCTCAAACAACCCAAGGTCCTTTTTCAGGGTCCCTCCTGTAGTCCCGTGATGAGGAGGTTTAGCGGGGCACAAGGGGTTTAGGTTAGGGTTTAGGGTTTGGGCCTTTTTTCTGGGCGTTAGGGGTCCAGAGTCTTTTGGGCTTATGTGTTTTCATCCTGCTTGGATCTTCGAGCTGTTCGGTGGTCGTGGGGGCCACTAATTGTAGGAGGAAGCTCCAGGGCAGTTTGAACCTTCAATGATTGAAGTTTTGGGTTCACGGGCTAGGGCTGAATGAACCTCACACCCTACACCTCGGAATCAAGCTGTTCCCTCCCCCATCGCCTTGCATTGTCCTCCATTTCCGTTGGTTTACTTAACCAGCAGAGTTTAAGCAAAGTCAAACTTGTGGAGCGTTCTCATTTCAAGTCTCAAGACGTAGCCTGTCATCCCCTAACCCTATAGACACTACACCCTAAACCTAAAGCGCCTTGGTCAAAGCTTTTTGGAGAAGTTGAAACTGCCCTGTAAGCTTGCATGGCTTTGCAGCTTCTGGTCCCCCTTGGAGTCCACCAGGCAAGCGTTGACGTCAAGAATTGGTTGGGGGGATTAAACCCTAAACCCTATACCCTGCGTACCCTGTAAGGGTTTAGGGTTTAGGGTTCAGGGTTTAGGGTTTATTTAGGGTTCAGGGTTTAGGGTTTAGAGTTTAGGGTTTAGGGTTTAGGGTTTAGGGTTTAGGGTTTAGGGTTTAGGGTCTAGGGTAGGCGAGGCCTCAACCCAAAACCCACACAGGGTTGAGAGTTTTATGGGGTCTAGGGGGTGTCACCTGTTCGGCACCTCGGGCTCGGGCTTTAGGCTTGGAGAGTTTTCGCAAGACGAAACCCTAAACCCTAAACCCTAAACCCTAAACCCTAAACCCTAAACCCTAAACCCTAAACCCTAAACCCTAAACCCTAAACCCTAAACCTAAACCCTAAACCCTAAACCCTAAACCCTAAACCCTAAAACCCTAAACCCTAAACCCTAAAGCAGCTCCAACCTTAGCCCCCCCCCCCCCCCCTCCCGCCTTCCATGGAATCGTATTCATCGTAGAAGTCGGATCATCATTGCAGCGATCGTCATCGTTGGACCCTGAACCTCCAAGGGGGTGGCTGTCAAAATCATGATCCCTTTTTGGGGTACCCTAAATATTAGGTGCCGTATTGTAATAGGGATCCAAAAAGGGACCATAATTTTGACAGCCACCCAAGGGTAGTTACATGGGCCCTGAATGTGGTTCCTGACCTTCTTCACGGGGTTCTGAAGTCTGGGTCCTTGGGTTGTATAGCGTATATAAGGGTCCATAATGGACCACACAACTACCCTTTGAAATCCCAAAGCCCTAAACCCTAACCCTCAGTCCAAAGTAGAAAGCCGAAGCTGCTTCCGTTTGGGGAACCAGGGGTGTGTGCGCGTGCTTCAGACCTCGGCGTACGCAGGCCTGGTTAGGGTTTACAGATTCCGGCTTTACGGCCATAAGGAACCTTGCAGATTTTGCACTCCATACCCTACAGGGCCCTAAACCCTAAACCTTTAGTGTTCCAGTGAGGCAGCGCTCAATTCCAAGCCTGCGCCGTGCATGTTCACTGTTTGAAGATAAGGGCAGTTCTCTGAGTTATGGTCCTACATAGAAGGCTCCATATCACCAGAGGAACACCGAAAAAGACCATAGTTTCGGGAACCTACCACATGTGAGTCTGTACAGAGAGAGACGGCTCTCACGACAGCTTGCGAGACGAGGCCAGTGCTGCCTAAAATCGCCAAAGCACAATAGGTTTAGGGGTCGGAACAGTCACACATAGTATCCCCTTACGGTTCCTTTGTAATTCTACTAGAATATCCCCTCCAAAACCCTATTCTCATTATTTAGGCCCCTATAGTAGCCCTAAACCCTAAACCCTAAACCCTAAACCCTAAACCCTAAACCCTAAACCCTAAACCCTAAACCCTAAACCCTAAACCCTAAACCCTAAACCCTAAACCCTACTCTAACTCTTTAGGCACCTATACTATATATCAGACCCTAGGCATGACTCCGCAGCGTGCGAGTGTGGGAGGAGGCCGTCAACTTGCGCAAAGCTCGCAACTCGGGCCATGCAAGGCCTGACGTTCGCCACACAGAAAAAAGACGAGAGGGTTGAGGGTTTAGGGTTTGGGGTTTGGGGTTTGGGGTTTGGGGTTTGGGGTTAGGGTTAAGGGTTTAGGGTTTAGGGTTTAGCGTTTAGGGCTTAGGGTTTGGGGTTTGGGGTTTGGGGTTTGGGGTTTAGGGACTCTCCTAAACACTATCTGCAGTACGCCCCATCATAAACCGTATGAGGACGCGTAGCCCCTAAGCCTGCTAGAAAAAGGTGTGCCCACTGTAGGGACTAGAACCTAAACCCCCCATTCTCTTGGTAGCCCAGTGGTACCCTTTTCCCTTTTTTTTGGTTCAACGTTCCTTTATAAAATAACTAACCCAAAAAAAGGGTGTCCTTCTCAGAATATGGTTACTGGGATACCAAGTTCTGAGGCGTATGAAGAGCAACCTCGACCCGAAGCAGCCCTAAAGCCCTGAAAGAGAGCGAACGCCCAGTCCGTCCCAGGTCCCCCGTGGAAAAACCGAGTCACTACAGGGAAGCGCAGGGGCTTCCACCCTTCAGGGTTTTCGCTGCTATAGGGGGTTACTTAAAGGGTCTGTCACCTGTCGGGTCTATAGAGTTACGTTTTAAGGGCTCGGAAACCCGGAGCCCTAAAACCTCTGCACTCTTGGAAGTCCTGCGCCCGATCTCGTTTGGCTGCACAGTGCTCTTCGCGCGTAGAAGAGGTTATGCAGGGTTTCCGGGACATCTCTTCGCAAGCCATTCTTTTGTGACACGCAGGTCGCTCCCTACACCCTAAACCCTAAACCCTAAACCCTCAACCCTCAACCCTCAACCCTAACCCCTAAACCCTAAACCCTAAACCCTAACCGCTAAACCCTAAACCCTAAACCCGAAACCCTACACCCTCTGAAACCTTGCCTCCGGATCATGGCCGGGTCTCGGGGCTGCATCCCGACATCCGGGAGAAATCGCTGCCGGCTGTCACCCAGGAGGCAGAAGATGTGTGGATCCGAGTGGAAAGCGTTCAAGCACTAGGGTTGAGGGTTTAGGGTTGGGGATTTACATAGGAGTTTCCGAAAGGAGGCAAGATATCAATCCGAAGCACTGCCGTAGTGATAGTGTCGTGAGGAACTTGATGGAGGTCGTTGCGACATGCTAAGCGCACAGAAGCCT